GCTGGAGGGCGAGTTGAATCCTGTCGAATGATACGAGCACTCGGCTGCGAGTGAGATCTAAGATATTATCCTGCTCGCCTGAGCCGTTGTTCCGAGGGGTGTCACGGGAGGCCGGGAAGGATTGATAGGAAACAGAAGAGGCTCGATGAAGATATCCCATCCCGGAGTTCCTGGTCGCAGCGTGAGAAATGAAAACGTAGTTGGAGTCATGCTAACCTACCAGGGGCGCCAAATTGTTTTTTACTCAAGATACCAATCATGACGACTTGAGCAGCGACCCGCGACAGCTCTGGGCCTTCATTTCCATCTAATAACTGATGGATCTGTGGCGCGATACCGGCAAACCACTGTGTAGGTGCCGTTGTCGCCGGGGGCGACGTAATTATTCGCGTCGCCACCGCCAAGGCCTCTTGAGTGATGTTCGCACCGGTCTTGTGGAGCGTAGTTTCATCAGAAGCCTTCATTTGGCTGCTCGGATGAACTGAAAAAACGAACTCGAGGGTTCCACGCACGCCATCACGACGAAGCGGGATATGTGTAAGAATCTTCATCAGTGGCGGCTGCAGCCATGACGGCGCCACGTTCGGCTTGATCAACGCATTCAAGGCTGGTAACAGATTCCATGACACATTGCTGCGTCCCGGTTAGAGATGTCTCTGGGTCCAGGCAATGAACATTTTTACCTACCCTTCAACAAGCGAATTGAACTCTTTCAAGGCGAGGTCGCGTAATGCAGGCTCTGTTGTTGGGTCAAAAGCGCGCTTGCCAACATCGAGCAATGTATCTGCGAGGGTCTGACGACTTTCCTTCCCAGTTGACGCCATCATGTCTCGGTCATGGTAGCCTGATGAACAGACTTGCATGTAAGATCCTACAAACTTATTTGTAGGATGACGTTCCTTGAAGACTAAGGTACCCAGGTGATGGATTACTGAGGAATCTGTGTTGAGAGGTAAGACCCACCACTGAGACTGGGTCACGTGGGCTCGCGCTCTACCTGCCCAGCACGCGTGGTCGTACCTGCCAATGTGACGCGTTCATTACCTGGAGCAACAGTGTTGCTTCCACATGCAAGGTATCAATCTGCCCAAGGCAGCTATGTGGTGCGCGCTTTGACCCCTATACTGTTATTTTCCGTCCTTTCCATCTTTTTCTCTTTCCCCTCCTCTCTCTTTACAACCTCCCTCTCTAGCTTATCAGCTTCACTCTTATCTATACCATCACCAGATCGCGGTGCACTGCTGATGGCCAAATCGAGATACGGCTTCAAGATTGGGGAAACCTCAGAATGTGTTTGATGCGGAAGCTCTTTCGTCCTTTTGACACCACTCCACGCACGACGCCTCCTTCACAGTCCTCCGGCTCTTCTTTTCCGAAAGGAATGTCTTCCATAGACCCCTCGACAAGGGCTGGGAGGCCCCAGTACGCCGCTCGCGACTCTGCAACAGGGCTTCGTGCTTGCTGTGATTGGATCCACTGGGACCTCGAGTCGTCAGTATCAGACGACCCAGTCCGGCTGAGGGAAGACGAGTCGGAACTTAACCCTAAGCATCACCTTGGTTTTCAGTTTGCGCCCACGGCCGTTCAAGTCGCCTTGTATGTCTGCTATGCTCGTCTGCGGAGACCGCCACTGAAAAGTGGCGTCTTTGTCCGGGGCTATGTAGGCGGACCGGCGAGGAGAGCACTCCAGTCATCATCACCTGATGCGCGAGAAGTTGGCTCTATGAGTCTGTACGGTGAGAGCCTCTGGTCCGAGGCCGCTCGTCAGAACCAGCTGCTGGAACTAGAGCCTTGACCAATAACAGACTGTTCGGATGAGGTGAGCCTATTTGCTCGCAGGGAGATGATTGCTCTCGTCTGGCGTTCTGGAGCCTGATTCAGCCCTACAGCGGCTCGGAATCGCGGGAGAGACTGCAGTGAGGGAGATCTTGGCAGCGCCGTCAAACGGTCAGATGAGCGTTTCCTTCGACTTGTGCATACCTTCCGCGACCCTTCTCGCAGCCTAAGGATCGAGATGGGGGGAGGGACTCAAGCAGCAAACTGAAACGAACCGTCTGACTTGACGATGGCGAGGCAAACAGCTCTACGTACCCTCGATTATCTCAGCGCACTCTTGACACCACAACAGACTTGATCCCATCCAACCCACGAGCAAACGTTCGCCTTGCCGGGCCACATCCGGGCTATGGCTTGGGTGTGTCATTACATCCATATGAGTCTGGTCAGGCCCATTAACCTGATCCCGTGGGTCTTGTCCCACGGCGTTGACGGACGCCAAATTCGTGCGGTCTTCTTCTGAGGAGCGCAAAATTCCCACTGTTTGCCTCGTGGACAACTTTGGACGATAGCACGGTTTTTGAGAATGTCTTTTGTCCGCGCGCAATGCCCTCCACCGCCTCGTCTTCGACACGTCACGGAGAGGAAACAAAAACGAGTCCTTGTTGGCAGTGCGAAACATACAGAAAGAACTTGGCACAACTACGTCTGATGGTTTCTCCTGCCCTCTGAAGCCGCCGATCGTCATGCAACATTGCCGAAATGACAGTCTTGGTATACTTGTGGAGGCTGCATACGCTTCTCGACGCTGGCGTCTGGGCAAGTAGCGATGAAGGGGTGGGCGACGTCAGATCGGGACCCATCTTGAGTTGGTGTCAAAGCTCCGCGCTTGTCCAGCCCTGGTGGCGTCTGCCTCGGATGTCCTTTTCTGCCCAAGCGAGAGCCCGAGTCAATTTCCTTGGACCCCGTTGTGGGTGGACAGGCCTGATTGGAGGGCAGTCCAGGTTGTCGTCGCTCCAGGAATGGCGAGACGGCAACCCCCTCGATGCAGGGATAAGTCAACCTGAGATGCCTTTTTCTGATATGAATGCTAATTGGAGGTAGAGAGTACTTGATGCGACGCGTGGTTGAAGGGTGGAATAAGAGTAGCAGACATCACGCGACGCGAGCTTACCGACGTACTAACATGCGCGCTGCCACTGGGATTACCAGCTGCTCGGCCTGATCGCCTCTTCCATGATACTTCTAGAAGATGAGCACGAAAAGTCCCTTCGAGAGCTATATGCAAAACAGTACAAAAACCAGCATGAATTCCACTGTCGGTTTGCAACATTCCTTTCCTTGGACTAAGAAAGAAAGCCGTGGCGAAGCTCGGTTAACAAGCTAACAACCCAATTTGTCGTCCGCAGCGTTTTGCATCAGCGCTGGATGGTATGAGCTTGACTTTACATGGGTGTTAAGTATTCTTGAAAGCACGTCACAAGCTACCTTACTATATACAAGCAAGGCAGTCCGCATGTATACGCCATTTCGTGTGACAGCACATGCTTAGTCTGTCTGGCAGCAGCTGCTACAAGGCATGATAGAATCTCTGGCATGGATTCACAACACGCTATCATACGCATCAGCCTGATCTCCGCCATCCTCCTTTGGCGTGTGAGCTCGGGTCAACATGCTAGCTATTTAACCTCTAGGCACCATCCCCACTGCTGCACGCTTGAAACCCACTTTGAACGTGCGCCATGTTTGCACTTTGGCCACAAGCTTCACAATGAGGTCCTAGCGTGCAGGCGTGTGACCTGACACAAGTACTGGCAATTTGAGGAGCTTAGCGTGGCTGCTATGGATTTCCAGTATGATCCTCACGTCGGAGAACTAAGACCTGTGCTCCTCGTCCAGTTTCACAGCAAAATGATGCCAGTTTACGTGGCGCCTTGCGACAGCTTTTGACACATGCGCCAGGATGGGAACCAGAGACATGATTGGCGTGTCAAACAACACTTCAAAGCACTATTTTTTTCTCCTGTTGTTCGGCCCGCCCGATCTACTTACACTGCGACGGAGAAATTTGAGGGCCGAGAGACAGCTTCGCGGCTGTCAAGTTAAGAACAGCGGATAAGTGAATCGCTCGTCCACGTATGATATTGCGAGCACCACTCCCAGAGACTTCTTGTCTGTCTTTTGCGCGGGGCTAAGTGTAGGTCAGTCTCCTTTCAGCTGCCGCACTCGGCGCCGCTCACCCATTGGCGCTACCCCATATGACCTCGGCGATCATGCTCTGGTACAAGACTTGTGAAAGACTGCGATGGAGGATTGATTTCGACTGGCGAGATGTGCCGATAAGTTTGCAGCTGACTAACTTTTCAACGATCAACTCGAAGCAACTCCAGAGGGCTCAGAACTTGGCGGAGCGCTTTTACTTCTGATCGACCGCCCCCCTCTCGATTTGAGACTGTGGCAAGATTAGTGCGAAGGGTCTTGTGAACTATTTGACAGCCCCTGACGCCATGTTGGCAGGTTTCAAGCCCATTTCTGTCGGCCTACAGGTGCTCGACAAGGTTGTCCTCCCTCTCTGGAGAGACCCTTGAAGAACCGAGCTCTAGCATTCGCCTGGCCCACCCATTCCACCGACAACATATCGCCTGGTGCATATTCGATTGCCTCGAGCCTTCTTTGCATGGACCTGCGCCGTGACAGCCGTCTTCGTGTGCGGGATGATGTGCTGAGATTTGGTTGGGGGGCTACTCACGCCTCTCGACGCAGTCGGAAGTGATGGTCATGAGTGTCAACG